TCCTGAGCTCAGGCAATCCACCCACCTTGGCCTCACAAAGTGCTGGGACTACAGGCGTAAGCCACAGAGCCTGGCCAGGTGCTGGGCAGTTTTTAGGGCTACATTTTTTTCTGTGGCACACACACCCACTGCTGCTTGCCTTCAACTGTTGCCTATGTGCATCCAAAAGTGGAATGTGTATTCTTTTTGTTTGTTTTTTGAGACAAGGTCTCATGCTGTTGCCCAGGCTGGAGTGCAGTGGCATGATCACAGCGCACTGCAGCCTCGACCTCCTGGGCTCAAGTGATCCTCCCACCTCAGCCTCCTGAGCAACTAGGACTATAGGCACGAGCCACCACACCTGGATAATTTTTAAATTTTTTTGTAGAGATGAGGTCTCCCTATGTTGCCCAGGCTACTCTCTTACTCCTGGGATCAAGCAATCTTCATGCCAACGGCCTCCCAAAGTGCTAGGATTACAGGTGTGAGCCACCCAGCTGAAACGTGTGTTCTTACACCACTCAAGTATCAAGGAAGAGAGGTCAATACTTATCCTCCTGGAAATGCCACTGCAAGTAACAACTGGAGATTGAAAAACTTAAAACCTCACTTGAAAAATAGGGTGAGATAGGTCAAGATTTTAAGTAAACTCTTGTAAGCCTTTTAGATTTTATGTTCACTAAATTAAAATAATAAAGATAGCATGCTACAGAGAGTGGTTATTTTAATTATATTTATTTATTTATTTTTGAGATGGAGTCTTGCTCTGTCGCCCAGGCTAGAGTACAATGGCATGGTCTTGGCTCACTGCACCCTCCGCCTCCCAGGTTCAACTAATTCTCCTGCCTCAGCCTCCCGAGTAGCTGGGATTACAGGAGCCCACCACCATGCCTAGCTAATTTTTGTATTTTTAGTAGAGATGGGGTTTCACCATGTCGGCCAGGCTGGTCTTGAACTCCTGACCTCGTGATCTGCCCACATCGGCCTCCCAAAGTGCTGGGATTACAGGTGTGAGCCACTGTGCCTGGCCTAGAGTGGTTCTTTGTACACTTTAAATTATTAGTAGTGATACTATTTAATAAATTTCCACATACCATTGTTTTCTACTTGCCAGTAAATTAGCAGCTCACTCTCTAGAAATTTTAAATAGTTTATGAACTCTTCCTGCTTTGTTGTATACTAGAGGTATTCAAAAAGTTCATGGAAAATGCATATTACAAAAAGACTGTGCATGGACTTCAAAAATTTATTTGCAGCAAAATAAACTTGTACTAACTTATTTTAATATATCTGACCAGGATTTGGTTTGAGTCACTAAAAAGGATAAGATATCAGTTTGAAAAGAACCCCTGGCTGGGCATGGTGGCTTGTGCCTGTCATTCTAGCACTTTGGGAGGCTGAGGTGGGCATATCGCTTGAGCCCAGGAGTTCAAGACCAGCCTAGACAACATGGCAAGAGCCCGACTCTACCAAAAAAATACAAAAATTAGCTGAGCGTTGTGGTGTGTGCCTATCGTCCCAGCTGCTCGGGAGGCTGAGGCGGGAGTATCACCTGAGCCTGGGAAATCGAGGCTGCAGTGAGGCATGATCGTGCTACTGTACTCTGTTCTAGGTGAGAGTGAGACTCTGTCTTAAAAAAAAAAAAAAGAAAAAGAAAGGAAAAGAAAAAAGGAAGAGCCCCTATCAGAGTAACATGAATTCTGCTAAAATTGAAGCAAGAACAAACATCAAATTCATGGTGAAGCATGGATGGAAGAATTGTGAAATTACTGATGCTTTACAAAAAGCTTTTGGGGACAATGCCCCAAAGAAATCAGCAGTTTACAAAACGATAACTCATTTTAAGAAGGGGCCAGATGATGTTGAAGATGAAGTCTGCAGTAGCAGACTATCCACATCAATTTGTGAGGATCTTATTCATGCTCTAATTAAAGAGGAACAACGATTAACAGTAGAAACAACAGCCAATACCACAGATACCTCAATTGGTTCGGCTTATACAATTCTGGCTGAAAAATTAAAGTCGAGTAAACTTTCTACTTGATGGGTGCCAAAACTGTTGTGCCCATATCAGCTGCAGACAAAAGTATAGCTTTCAATGGAATTATAAACAAGTGGGATCAAGAACCTGAAGCATTTGTTTGAGAAATTTTAACAGGAGATGTAACAACTTCATAGTACAATCCTGAAGACAAAGCACAATCAAAGCAATGGCTATGAAGAGGTGGAAGTGGTGCAATAAAAGCAAAAGCAGACAGGTCAAGAGCAAAGGTCATGGCAACAGTTTTTAGGGATGCTGAAGGCACTTTGCTTGTTGACTTTCTGGAAGGCCAGAGAATGCCAACATCTGCTTATTGTGAGAGTGTTTTTAATTTTTTTTTTTATTTTTTGAGACAGAGTCTTGCTCTGTCACCCAGGCTGGAGTGCAGTGGTGTGATCTTGGCTCACTGCGACCTCCACCTCCCAGGTTCAAGTGATTCTCGTGCCTCAACCTCCCAAGTAGCTGGGACTAGAGACTAGAGGCACATGCCACCACACTCGGCTAATACTTGTGAGTCTGTTTTGAGAAAGTTAGCCAACGCTTTAGCATAAAAATGCCCAGGAAAGCTTCAACAGAGAGTCCTATCCCACTAGAAATATGCTCCTAACTCATTCCTCTCATCAAACAAGGGCAATTCTGTGAGTTACGATGGGAAATCATTAGGCAACCACTTTACAGTCCTGAGTTGGCTCTTCTGATTTCTGTTTCCTAATCTTAAAACATCATTAAAGGGCACCAATTTTTCTTCAGTTAATAATGTGAAAAGATTATATTGATATGGTTCAATTCCTAGGAGCCTCAGTTCTTCAGGGATGGCCTACATGACTGGTATCATCACTTACAAAAGTCTCTTGACCTTGATGGAACTTAGGTTGAGAAATAAAGTTTATATATTTTTACCTTTTAATTCCATTTCCCAAGATCTTTTTGAAGTCCCCTTGAATAGTAAGTATACACAGGAGCCAATTTTTTCACTGTTTGTCTGTCACATAAAAAGTTATTTCATGTTTTTCTGATTTCATTATTTCCTGGGCCCCAGAGATGCTTTTACCCAATTTTAGCTCCTTCACCACTGTAGATCTCTCCTTCTAAGATTATTATGTGGAAATTTCTACTTTTGCTCTTTATTCTATATTACCTTCCCTTCCTCAAGCCTAGTTCCCGCTCTAATTATTCCCATGAGAAGTTCCTTAAGGATACTCAAAGTGAAATCCTCATGATTTGAAAAAGATATACAGAAGCAAATCCATATTGTGGAAAATTCTGTTAAAGGGGACTTCAGGGTTGGAGAGGATTATACTATTTTATTAAAATTATTATTTAGCAGAAATCCAAGAAACATATATTTTTGTTAAGACATCAAAATAATCTTACTTAAAAAATTATTAAAAGGGAAACAGGGTCCCTGTGATTATTAAAATCCCCCTTTCCAAATGAAATCAAGTTAGAGAAAGTATCCTAGAGGCAGACCCAGAATCAAGCTTTCATCTGTTCACACAATTACTGGTTTGCTATCCATATACTTAAGGACACAGTCACTAAGTATGTGATCTGTAAAGGAAAACTGACAGGCCTATCAAGGTAGCCTCTAAAATTTAAACTGAAATTAAGTAAAAGAACAAAGGAATAGCAAATATTACCATCTTGGATTCTGGCTTCTGGGAACCCCTTCCTGGGATGCTCCTGTCGTTTTGTAATCTTCTTTCTTTTTCCTGTTTTAGTTCTAACTCAAGCTGGTTCCTGAGTAAGTTGGAGAGGAAAAGGATGAAAAATTGGAATTCTATACAGACATATTCTCTAAAGAATGCCAACCCCTTGTTTTAAAGTGCAGTAATTAACAATGGGTAAGGGCTTGTTGTCAGAGAGACAGGTTTTTAAATGATAATGTTGCCACTTCTAAGCTTAACTGTGTGAATCTGGACACATTTAACATCTCTAATCTCTACTTTTTTTTGAGATGGAGTCTTGTTCTGTCGCCCAGGCTGGAGTGCAGTAGCATGATCTCCGGTCACTGTAACCTCCGTTTTCCAGATTCAAGCAATTCTTCTGCCTCAGCCTCCTGAGTAGCTGGGATTACCGGCACCCACCACCATGTCTGGCGAATTTTTGTATTTTTAGTAGAGATGGGGTTTCACCATCTTGGCCAGGCTGGTCTGGAACTCCTGACCTCAGGTGATACACCTGCCTTGGCCTCTCAAAGTGCTGGGATTACAGGCAGGAGCCACTGCGCCCAGCCTTAAGCTCTACTTTAATCTGAAAGTGGAGGCAATAATATCGCTAATAGGGTTGATATGAAGATATTATGAGAGTTTGCATGTGAAGTGCTTTGTAAAGTATCTGGCACACAGTAAGAATTCAGGAAATATTATATATTATTATTAGTGTTATTTTGGCTAATAATTACTATTTATCTGGGATCCTGGGCTCTAAGTTTCTAATTCTTTGATCACAAAGCATGTTGATCGGATTTGGGGAATGTTGAAGTACGTGAAGCTTTCTGAATTCCAATTCCAGAGAAGGGACATTGCAAAGACAGAGCCAACCTGGCTGTAAGTCATGAGACCCCTCTTCTTGCTGTCTACCCTAAGAAATACCCATGACCACCCTGTCGGCTCAAGCTGCCCCCTCTTCACCGCTGCCTGGTGAGCTCCTCGACTTCCAGCTGCAGACTGTTGATCTTGTCTCCAAAGTCCTGTTTGAAGAGCCGGTTGTCCAACTCAGCAGACTGGCGGCTTCGCTCAGCCTGGCGCAATCTGGATGTGAGCCACATGAACTTGTGATAAAAAACAAAAGCCATGGTGGGGAGAAAGACCAAGTTCACAACACAACATAAAATAACCCAAGGAAGAATGCACAGAGAGACAGAGAGAGTAAAAAAACTTTGCAGGACACAGGCAAATAAATTATGAGGGGGGGAAGATGGAAAAGAAACAAATTCTAAAGAAAAGTAAGATGAAGGTGAACCAGGCAGAGGAAAAGCTGATTTTCCATTTTTTTTTTATTCTAGTACTACAGTTTACAGCCATTAGATGATAAACAATAAAACATCACTTTTTAGAAAATCCATATCCAAAGCCAACCTCAAGTACACAGTAATTTAAGTTAAATCCACTTTTTAAAAAAATTACCTAATAGGTTTGGTACTTAATTTTTCTGTTTTACACACATAACTGGAACTTGTAAACGGGCAACTACCTTCTTATATGTAGAATTATAGTTTTTTCTTGTCCTTTCCCCCAAACCACATATATTAAATCATGGGACATTATATATCAACCCTCACCCAGGCTTTGGGTTATTCTATAAGGAAAAGTCTTTGTCAGAATTTGGCTGTCTCCTTCCTTTCCCATTCCCACAAAAGATGTGTGACTAAGTGGACAAAGAACTCAGCACTGGGCCTGTTTAAGACTCTGACCATATTCTCTAGAAGATTCTGATGGATGTTTTCTTCTAAATATCTTATAACTTTGCACCTATACAGAAGCATGTTTTAGAAGGTAAAACACTTGGGGCTTTATATAATAGAATTTAGAAGCATGCTATGTGTAGGTTTTAGAAAGTTTAATTTTGGTATTTGATCACTCCTTCCAAATGCTCATAGAAAAGGCAACCCATCACCACAAAAGGATGATGAAGAGAAGAATATAGTAGGAGCTTTGTTTATATAGGTGCAAATTATAAGAATTAAAATAAGTTCAAGAGCACAGGATCTTCCACTTCCATGAAGTTGGTTTAAACATATGTTCTTTGACTTGATTTTGGTTCAAGTCCAATCTGTGCAGGGACCTATATAAGCACACATGGAATCCATCGTACACTCTTAATTCTGGTTTTGCCAAGAAAAAGATAAAGAATTTTAAGAGCTGGAAGCGAAGGGGTTATCTGTGTCCCCACCTAAGCAGCTGAAATGCTGCAAAGCATACCAGAAGGAAAAAAAAAGAGAGAAAAAAACCCAAATATTTTGTTAGGACCTTTTGAAGGAATGAAGGCTTATGTAAAGCCCATCTCTTCAAATCAAAAATCATCTTAAAAATTAAAGTATTTATAGGATTATTTACAATGTTAAAGCCTAGAGAGGGTTAGTCTGTGGTCACTTATAAATAGAAGCCCTGCTAATATTGCTTGTGGATATCTACTGGGAATCTGTATTTTTGTACTAAATAATAATAAAGAATGTAAGTTTATCATTTATTTCCTATTCTGAAATGTTTTTCTAATAATTCAATTATTAGCTTCCCAGAACCTTTAGCAAACCTCCATCTGAACAAAAAGTAACAGAAACTTTTAAGTAAATGTTTCCAGGTAAGAAATGACAGGCCAGGTAGAATATCAACATTCATGTCTATACCTTGTCCTTTTTATTCCAATAAGAAAAGCAGGATATGAAAAATGGGTACTGCATCATTTTTTTAATACGAGAGGAGTGTTTCTATTAGAATCATTCTCTCTGAACTGCCTAAGTAGGAAGCAGAACTGCGGGAAAATGGCAGAGGTAGAAGATGACAAACATAAGGAGGGTTTCCCCAAGTGTCCACATTATTATGTTATCATAAGTTACCTAATTACTAACTTCATCTCTATATATTTTAAAGAAATATAAGGATGCTGTTTTTTCTTTTTTTTTTTTTTTCAAAAGTCACTAAGGCAAAAAAAGTTGCAAGCAATCTTGGTTACTGAGAATAGAAGTGTAGTGAAAGTGAAATACTAAGTACTATCCTTGTCTTGGGGATTAAACCTACATAACAAAAGTGAAAAGGGGTCATGGTCTAAGAGACACAGAACTATTTTAGAAGAGTCTGAGTTCATGTGGTAGTTACCTCTAGTTCATTACACTGCAATGGCAGAACAGGCTTGCAGATACAGACATGAACAATGCACCGAGAATCTGATATTATCAACGATTGGGTTGTAAAGGCATCATTAATATATGTACAGAGCTTCAATTCCCTAGGCTTTTTCAAAAAAGTGGTATTTTTATTTATTGGTCAACTCAGAAATAATTTCTCAAAGTTTACTCAGCTTTTAGTTAGGAACTTATACCAATTTTTCTAACCCTGGGGAGAAAACAATACGAAAAACACCCAACCTACATCTCCAAATGGTTTTTTAAAAGTCCAACAAATTCAAAGTCAACTTTTTGGTGACATTTTAGAGAGAATCAGAGCTTAAATGTAATAGCTTTCAGATTTCTTCCTTTTACAATGAAGTTGTGATATCAGACTTGCAACGTGCCAACTGAAAAATGCCTAATGATGTTTTGGGATCAGTTTATTTGCTGCACTATTTAAGGTCTTTGCCTGTTTCACCAAATCCTTTTCACTAAATAAAATAAAAATGACAATGAAGTGAAAGGGGAATGAGAAAATGGATAAACAGGAAACACAAAAATAGCAAGAGAATAGGTCAGCTTAATATTCAAAGAGATGTCATTTTTTCTTTCTGTTTGTTTTAAATTCCAAGTCAAAGCATCATTGAAAATGAATTTGATACATTTCACTTCAAAAGCACAATTTATGAACAGTAAAATCATTTTGTTAAATCATAAACATATAACTATGTATGAGCAAGTATATAACCATCTTTCCTAGGTAAGACTGATACATTTTTATTTGGCTATATAAGAGGTTTCAGGCTTATTTACAAATTTGCCATTAAGTTTTGAGTAAATATTAATATGCATTGCTGTTCAGGACCCTTACTAGTTAAGAATCATCTGAATATAAGAAGTCACCCATTAATCCATTCATTCATATATCTACTGAATGAATGCTTATATATTCAAAGCACTGTGACAGATCTAATGAGGGAACTCAAAAGATTAGTTAACTAATCTCAGGGAGCTTACGCTCGCATCGGAGGACACATATATAAAGGGTTAAAAGGTAAAGTAGACAGTGAGAAGAGCCATAAACAGTATAGATAAATATGAATATGAAGCTATGGGAATTCCCAGAAAGACAGATCATTTCTAGCTGCAAAGAGGTATCAGAGGAAACTTTGGGGAGGTGGCATTTGAGCCTAAACTTAAAAAAGAAGAATAAGGGAGTGGGAAGAATTAGGACATTTCTAATTGGTGGAACTATTGGGAAAGAAATGAATGAGAAAACTGGGAAGTACGTCCAGGGACCAGTAGTTTAGTTTTGTTCAAGTGCAAGAAGGGTGACGAACAGGTGTTGAAGGTAGAAACATCAAATGACCTTGGGTGCCATGCCACATTCAATCTTGAAGACTCAGCCATTTCTCTTGGCTGCTGGGCTGCCAGACAGAAAATGGTGGTTTCACACAAACAGAGAAAGAGAGTAGCATAGGAAGAAGATGTGCTTTGGGCAGACTAAATTGTAGATACTGGTGAAAGATAGCTGCCAAAAGGATGAAAACTCAAGACTGGTCTCCAGATGAAGGTAAAAGCTGGGGAAGCACACTGGAGGTGACAGTGGAAGCTACAGAACTACCCAGGAGAAAGAAAAGGGAGATAAAGAGAAAAGGGTTAAAGAAGGGAAAGATCCAGAATAGATCCTTGGAGGACACCTATCTCTCACTGCCTCTATATACCCCAGCATCCAAGTATTCAAAGACTTTAGTGATGAACAATAAAATCACAGAATTACATACATATATTTAAGAGTCCTTTCATGCTTTTAAGTATCCTTCCCCTAACACATGATTCTGATAAGGGTTAAGAGTTCTGATGTTCAAAACAGTCATCAAAGGCTGACCTTTCCTTTTTTTTTTTTTTTTGTTTTTTAAGGCTAGTCAAGTAACTGACATTTCCTAAAAACATTTCAGTCATACCTTAGAAAACACACATAATATTTAATTGGCTTTTTTTTCTACCAGAATGTCTTATGCTAATTTGGAAGAATTTCATATATTTTCTATTTGCAAATGTACAGCACATTCTCTTCACTATCACCACTGACAACCCAAAGTGTTTCATTAAAGAACCAGGGCTTTTACCTTTGTTCAAGTTGTTTAATGGTAGCAGCCATCTGATTAGTCTTCTCTTCCAAGCGACTGTTTAGTTCACTTTTCTGTTTTACTCCTAAGTCTGAACTCTGTTATGGAAAATAATGATAAACAACCTGTATAACATAAATCCTAAAATTACAACCACACATGCCTTTTGAATCTAATGGTAAGTGGGAAAACAGAAATGTTCATATATTTCGATATCAGTTAATCCTCAAATGGAAAAAAAAGCAATTTATCTAAAGTTAGTACTGTTATTTGCAGGGTTATCACAGTAATAGTTCATCAATGTATCACTTTCCAGTGTAAAAGCTAATAGAATATGTAACTCAGCTGGCATAGTAGACTGCAGAACAGAAATTATACTATAGGATAAAAAAGACCCTCACCCTCTATTATAATGTGAAAAGTGGTCATGGTTTTCTATAACAGCCATACAGGATCCCATGACGGTCTGATTCTGAAAGTAGTTTATTGGCAGCTAGCATTAAAATGAGATGTGATTCTTTCCTCTTGTAATTAAAGTGTGATTCTGGAGGATAAGATGGGAGAAGGGGAGCCCCAAGATTTTAGAAAGCCAGTGAGTCTATTCCTCATACTTCCCCTACCTGCAACTTAAAGGCAAGTTCGTGCTTGAGAGCTCTGAGGTCATCCAGCTGCTGCCGAAGAGATACCAGGGCATCCTGCTTCTCACAGACATCCTTCTCCAGCATCTTCATAGCCAATTCCATCTCCTGCCTCATGCTGATCTGCATCTCCAGCTCTTTTTCAACATCCTGCCCCCAAAGGTAAGTAAATTGCTTACACTCTGTTTCTTCAACTAAGTACAAACCATAATATTTCACAGGAAAAAGTATACCAAAACTCTCAGGTCGAATATTCTAGCAAAACAGCTTAAGCTACCATTCATTTTCAGAAACATTAACAATAATTAATTGATAATGAACAATAATTAGAATACACAATAACATTTGCCCAATAATGTACAAATCTGAAAAACCTGCTAAGCCAAAGGTAGTGCTATTTAATATGTCTAAAATATACACATATTTGAGACACTTCATTAGACCTTAAGACAACTGATGGTCATATCTTATTATAGAAATATACATACAGGATTACAGCAGTCAGCACAAAATGAAGCAGTTGCAATCCTCCTAAATGTGAATGTTGTTGATATATTCAAGAGCCCTGGGAACCCAGAGGACCATCTGGGTCCCTGGGGTAACATCGCAATTACTGAGGATGACTAGTATGGTTAAGAGGCTAACAGAAATTTTTTTTTTTTTTTGAGATGAAGTCTAGCTCTGTCGCCCAGGTTGGAGTGCAGTGGCTCAATCTTGGTTCACTGCAACCTCCACCTCCCGGGTTCAAGTGATTCTTCTGCCTCAGCCTCCTGAGTAGCTGGGACTATGGGTGTGCGCCACCACACTCGGCTAATTTTTTTTATTTTTAGTAGAGACAGGGTTTCACCATGTTGATCAGGCTGGTCTCAAATTCCTGACCTTGTGATCCGCCTGCCTCAGCCTCCCAAAGCGCTGGGATTACAGGCGTGAGCCGCTGCGCTCAGCCGCTAACAGAATTTTTAGTTCACTTAACATGATACCTCTTTTTGTCTCAACCATTATTACTGCAACATTATTTGGGTGATCAAAGACACAAAGACATGAGGATCTTCTGCATCTGCCTTGTGCCTTGGGCTCACCTAGGACCTCGCCTACTTTCTTAGTTTCCTTCCTTCTTAACAAACATTTGTCTTACTGTGATAAAAGGATATGAATTTTTTTTTTTTGAGACAAAGTCTCGCTCTGTCGCCCAGGCTGGAGTGCAGTGGCCGGATCTCAGCTCACTGCAAGCTCCGTCTCCCGGGTTTAGGCCATTCTCTTTCCTCAGCCTCCCGAGTAGCCGGGACTACAGGCGCCCGCCACCTCGCCCGGCTAGTTTTTTTGTATTTTTTAGTAGAGACGGGGTTTCACCGTGTTTGCCAGGATGGTCTCGATCTCCTGACCTCGTGATCCGCCCGTCTTGGCCTCCCAAAGTGCTGGGATTACAGGCTTGAGCCACCGTGCCCAGCCAAGATATGAGAAATTTTAAGATTTTTATTATGTGCCACTTCACTGAGATTCTCGTTTTACATGATTAGCATTATAGAAAACGAATCATACCCCTTCTTAAAATGCTGACATATATTATTTCTGCGACCTTTCTTATGAAAAGTATTACATTTTCAGATCTCAGTCACAAACACATAGAAGGCAAACGCTAAGTATTTTAAGGATGTTAAAATAATACCACTTTGCTTTCGAAAAAATCTGAAATTCTGGCCAGGTGCAATGGCTCACACCTGTAATCCCAGCACTTTGGAAGTCTGAGGTGGGTGGATCACAAGGTCAGGAGTTTGAGACAAGCCTGGCCAATGTGGTGAAACCCCATCTCTACTAAAAATATAAAAATGAGCTGGGTGTGGTGGCAGGCGCCTGTAATCCCAGCTATTTAGGAGGCTGAGGCAGGAGAATCTCTTGAACCCGGGAGGTGGAGGTTGCAGTGAGCTGAGATTGCACCACTACACTCCAGCCTGGGCAACAGAGCAAGACTCTATCTCAAAAAAAAAACCAAAAAACAAACCAATAAATAAATCTAAAATTCTGTTATATTCTGTCAATTTGTAACATATATATATTTTTGAGACAGGGTCTCCCTCTGGCACCCAGGCTGGAGTGTAGTGGTGCAATCTCAGCTCACTGCAGCCTTAACTTCCTTGGGCTCAGGTGATCTCCCTCCTCAGCTTCCCAAGTAACTGGGAATACAGGCATGGACCACCAAGCATGGTTAATTTTGTAATTTTTGTAGAGATAGGGTCTCCCTATGTTGCCTAGGCTGGTCTCAAACTCCTGAGGTCAAGCGATCCTCCCAAAATGCTGGGATTACAGGTGTGAGCCATGGCGCTTGGCCTGTAATAATTTTTTAGTACAAGTCAAGTCACTCCTTACTTTCAGGCTCCTCCTTATTCTTAAAGACTTTCTGGGGAGCTCCTTCTGTTTGTTACACTATCTAAACTCCAGGAAGAGTTAATATGTGAAAACCAGGGGTTATTAATATAATAACACTAGCACCTGGAGAAAATCCAGTATAGGAACAGTGTCCCTTATTATAAATTCTTTTTTAAAAAAGTGTGATTGACACATAGTAATTTATGGTGTAGAACATGATGCTTCGATAATATAAAAATTGTGTAATGACCAAATCAGAGAAACGAACGTATCTATCATCTTAAACATTTATCATTTCTTTGTGATGAGAATATTCAAAAGTCTCTTTTCTTTCCAGCATAAAGAAAAGACGAATATTTAAGGTGATGGGTATCTCGAGAACACTGATTTGGTCTTTACAAATTACATGAGTATATTAAATTATCATATGTACCCTGGAACTATGTATATCTATTATGCACCAATAAAAACAACAACAACAACAACAAACCTTTCTTCTAACTATTTTAAAATGTATATTAATATTAACTCTAGTCACCACACACTATGCAACAGAGGACCAGAACTTATTCCTCCTATCTAACTATAGCTTTGTACCTGTTGACCAATCTCTTACTATCCCCTGCTTCCTCTCCCGGTAGTAACCACCACCTTACTCTCTACTTTTATGAGAACATTTTAGATTCCACATGAGTGTTATCATATGGCATTTCTCTTTCTGTGTTTAGCTTATTACACTTCACATAACGTCCTCCAGGTTCACCCATGTTGCCACAAATGACAGGATTTCATTCTTTTTTATCGCCGAATAGCATCACATTGTGTTTATGTACCATGCTTTCTTTATCCATTCACGTGCTGATGAACACTTAGGTTGATACCATATTTTGGCTACTGTGAATAATGCTGCAATAAACATAGGAGTGCAGATTCTCTTTGACATACTGATTTCATTTCCTTTGGATATATACCCAGTAGTGGGATTGCTGGATCATATGCTAGACTGATTTTTAATTAATTAATTTTTTATTTTTTCAGACAGAGTCTGGCTCTGTCACCCAGGATGGAGTGCAGGGATACAATCCTGGCTCACTGCAGCCTCTGCCTCCCAGGTTCAAGCAATTCTCCTGCCTCAGCCTCCCAAGTACCTGGGATTACAGGTGCATACCACCATGCCTGGCTTTTTTTTTTTGTATTTTTAGTAGAGACAGGGTTTCACCATGCTGGTCATGCTGGTCTCGAACTCCTGACCTCATGTGATCCATCTGCCCGGCCTCCCAAAGTGTTGGGATTACAGGTGTTAGCCACTGTGCCTGGCCCGATTTTTGATTTTTTAAGACAACCTTCATACTGTTTTACATAGTAGCTATACTAATTTATATTTTCACCAGCAGCGTGTAAAGGTTCTCTTTCTCTACATCCTTGTCAACACTTATCTTTCAATTTGATAGTTGCCATTCTGATTAGAGTGAGGTGATATACTCTCTAACTATATATTTATATGTATTTTTTTTAATTTCTAAAAAATCTTAAGACTAATACTGGATGATAAGTTTTCCATTTATATCTAAGACCATAATAAATCAGAAATAACAGCTAAAAATAAAATAGAGTAATCCTACATTAACGATTCTTTGTAAAGAAAAGAGGAGCCACCACTCCAAGAATCTTTGCAGGGATGAGGACTTAGGTAGGATTGAGACTGCATAGTTTAAAAAAGTAGGTTCTGTATACTTAATATTGTTGTAATACAAACTACAAAAGCAAAAAAATTAAAATTAACAAAATCTTATTGTTGAGAATACTCAGAAAAAGATTGAGAAAATATGATAAGGAATGTGGTTTAAAAAGAGATAAACCATTTTATAGGATCTATAGTTTTTTAGAACACTACTGATATTTCTAATCTTAGTCTGTATGATAAAACGTGTAAGTGGGCAGTTACCTTTTAATATATTCCTGAACTATTAGAAATTAAGCAAAGTTTACCAATCGTAATTGTGTCTCTTCTTTTAAATGCTTTCTTGCTTCACTTAGTGCTTGCCCTTCTGCAGTTCTGTCTTGCTTGGGACCCTCGAAAAGATAAATAACATTGTACATATTTAAGGATTTGATCTATACAGAATTAATAGACACTAACACTGCTACTTAGTAAGAAAAAAAGATCATACTGAAGCAGGTATAATAATGAACAAACACAACAAAGAAATTGAAGAAGTCTAGTATATTTTTAAAGGTTAAGCTGAATTGGGGGTTTCCTGACACTTTATTTAAAATCCTAAAATAGGTTATCAAACCAGATGGTAGAAGTTTTAAAAATCAGCCTCTAAAAACAACATAGTATTCATTTCAAAATAAGAGTTGGGTTATAGGTTTTTCTTTTTTCTTTTTTGAGATGGAGTCTCACTCTGTCGCCCAGGCTGGAGTGCAGAGGCTCAATCTTTGCTCACTGCAACCTCCACCTCCTGGGTTCAAGTGATTCTCCTGTCTCAGCTTCCCGAGTAGCTGGGATTACACGCGTGTGCCACCACGCCTGGCTAATTTTTGTATTTTTGGTAGAGACGAGGTTTCACTATGTTGGCCAGGCTGGTCTCGAACTCCCGACCTCAAGTGATCTGCCCTCCTTGGCCTCCCAAAGTGCTGGGATTACAGGCGTGAGCCACTGCACCCAGCCCAGGGGCTATAGGTTTAAATGTTAATACATTCAATCTCCAGAGAATTCACAACTCGTATCTTCAACTATCCAGCGAGATCACAGATAAAAACAAGCAGGTCATAAAAAAATTATTCTGAGCAGTCATGAAGTCCATGCATTAAAGTCAATCACTTTACTCATGGAAAACTGCTTTTGTCCCCTCGCAGAGTCTAGTAACTCTTTAAGAACAATTTTAATAACTATGGATTTGAATTCCTAGGGACAGTAGATTAGAAGCATGAAGATAAAAGGAAGTAGAGAGATCATCCTAGAGATAACAACACTAAGCATCAATAAAAAGTAAGAGATGCTAGTGAATACAAAAAAGATAGGGAAAAAAAACATCCACAGAAATCGGGGAATATTTAAGTGTAGGTGTCAGAAGCTCTATCAATTTCAATAGCCTCCTAAAGTGGCACTATTATAATTTAGCAGAGAATTGTCAATGTTGGTAATTATGATCCTCAGTCATCATAAAGGGCTAAATGTATTAAATTATGTCCTTAATTAAGAAGGCTCGGAATTGTACAAAACATAAAGGTTTACAAAATTCTAATCAGACATGTATAAAAAGTTTGGTGCTTTAAGGAATTAAGTTATCTAGAAAATGACATGTATAAAAACTTTGGTGCTTTAAGGAATTAAGTTATCTAGAAAATACATTTATATGGTAGCTCTTTCCCAGTGATATATAAATGAGGTGTCACTTCTTATAAAACAGTAACATGGTGTAAAAGTAATAGTATATTTAACATAACAAATTGTTAAATACTGTATGAATCATTAGTACATAAAAGCAAGAAACGGAATTAGACTGTTTTGTGAAGTCTCTAAACAGATGTAGGTGGCTGTGAAGCCAAGAAGCATCTTGTAGGAAAAGGCGCATAACCCTCCCACAACCTTCATCACACATGCATGGAGTCTAAATAAAAAGTGTACTTGATACAGGCTAGTTGATTAAAATAGTCCTTTAGAGACTCCCCTTTACCACTAACAAGTTGACATGCTCTCAATGAATGTTTTATAAATCCAGTAAGATTAACCTTCCGATTGGATTCCAGTATGTAGGAACTTTCCTCTTTAACTCGTTCCATTTCTTCTTGTAAGGTAATGATCCTGTTGTTTGCAACTGCAAGCTGTGGATAAAATTTTAAAAATAATCCTTTATGTTTTTAAAATTAACATAGTATAAGATAATTCACAATCTGCTAGGATGTAATTCTTGGGCTTGGATATTCTTAGAAAGCAAGCAAGCTATAACCCAATAAAAATGTTATTATAGGAACTCAAGAGAAATATTTTTCTTTCTTTATTTTTCTGAGACAGGGCCTCGCTCTATTGCCCAGCCTGGAGTGCAGTGGCATGATCTCGGGTCACTGTAACCTCTGCCTCCTGGGTTCAAGTGATTCTCATGCCTTAGCCTTCCAAGTAGCTGGGACTACAGGCATGTACCACCATGCCCAGCCAATTTTTGTATTTTTAGTAGAGACAAGGTTTCACCATGTTGGCCAGGCTGGTGTTGAACTTCTGGCTTCAAGAGATCTGCCCACCTCGGCCTCCCAAATGCTAGGATTATAGGCGTGAGCCACTGCGCCTTAAGATGATCTCAAGGGTGTTCTTATAGATATACACATATTTAGTAAGAAAAAAATATATTTATTAAGAACGTCTATTTCTAAAATGTTTAATAAAGGGGTCCTGTCACACCATGGAACCCATGTGACAAACCTTCTATAAGATCTTTTATAGATGATTTCTTAAAAGATTAAAGACATGAACTCCAAAGTTCTCATGCTAAAAATCCCATTAAGCATTGAGGAGATTTTTCATTTCAACACCTAAAAAGATCAGGTAATGTTATTAGCAGTAAACTGCTATGGGGAAACATTTATATCTCTTTCTTAGAAGGAAAAAGTAAGGTGGAAACACTTTTTCCTTCTCTGCATCTACTAAACTCCCAGAGAATGTGAAGGTGCCTGCAGGAGGCTGGGAGGAATAACCAAGCAGGCTCCTCTCAGCCAGGCTAGTCTCCTTCTCAATTCTTGTCTCCTCACTAGCAATAGGTTCAGGCTTTGTTCAGTTCCTGTACTAACATGGTAAGCATAGAGAAGCTCACGCTTTCTGGGGGCAGGCCTGAAAACCCAGTTCTCTTTCAGATCCTGTGGCCTAAAAATGTACAACAAACCAATTCTGGGCAAGTAGGTCTCCTCTCTAGATCCAAGTATGCCCTCAGGCAGGTTGTTCCAAAATCTTGATTTAAGAGAAACTATTGGGCAACCTGATTATGGCTGCAGATCACAGGAGGTTTTCCAATTCATCTTTACCAAAAATGAAGTAGACATTTATTTATCTATCTATCTATTTATTTATTTATTTGAGACAGGGTCTCCCTCTGTTGCCCAGGTTGGAGTGTGGTGGCACAATCTTGACTACTGCAGTGTTGGTCTCCTGGGCTCAAGCAATCCTCCCGCCTCAGCATCCCGAGTAGCTGGGACTACAGTGTGCACCACAACACCCGGCTAATTTTTTTGGTGTAGAGATGGGGTCTCACTATGTTTCCCAGGCTAACCTTGAACTCATGGCCCTAAATGATCCTCCTGCCTTGGCTTCCAAAGGGCTGGGATTACAGGTGTGAGTCACCATGCACGGCCTGAAGTAGATATTTATATCTGCATCTGCTTAATTCTTCTTAGTCTGTCATTCAGATTCAAAACCCAGGAGGGGAAAAGAGGGCTGCCATCTTTCTGACTGGCATTTTTTTTTTTTGAGATGGGGTTTCGCCATGTTGCCCAGGCTGGTCTTGGAATCCTGGCCTCAAGCGATCCAACCACCTTGACGTCCCAAAGTGCTGGGATCACAGGCGTAAGCCACCGTGCCTGGCCTTACTGGCTCTCTTAAACCCAAAACGGAAATGGGAAAAGGCAGAACTAATCCCATCTGCTTTCTTACAGCACATTTTCTTTAAGAAAGTAAGTGTTGTTGGTAAAATAAATAAGTAAATGAATACATAGTGTTAATATAACTCTAAGGAAGACAAGTCTTATGACTGAGAGAATAAAATTAACAACTATATTTATTGAGTGCTTATGATGTGTTAGGTGCTGTTCTAAGCCCTAATCATGTATTAAATCATTTCATTCACACAGCAATCTCACAAAATGTTATTATTGCTATTTCCATGTTACAGATAAGTAAATCAAGGAATAGAAGCTTAAGTAATTGGCCCAGGATTAGAAGACTAGCAAGTGGCTGGGTGCGGTGGCTCATGCCTGTAATTCCAGCAGTTTGGGAGGCCGAGGTGGGTGGATCACCGGAAGTCGGGAGCTCAAGACCAGCCTGGCCAACCTGGTGAAACCCTGTTTCTACAAAAATACAAAAATTAGCCAGCTGTGGTGATGCATGCCTGTGGTCCCGGCTACTCAGGAGGCTAAGGCAGGAGAATTGCTTGAACCAGGAGGCGGAGATTAAAGTGAGCCGAGATGGCGCCGCTGCACTCCAACCTGGGTGAGATAGCAATACTCCATCTCAAAAAAAAAAAAAAAAAAAAAAAACCAAAAAACAAAAAAACAAAAAACGAAAAACAAAAACAAAACAAAAAACCCCCAAAAAACTAGCAAGTGCCAAAGCCAGGACATGAACCCAAGTAGCCTAACTTTACAGAGCATGCTTAATTGCTATGCTGTACAGATTCAACAAAGTAGCAACAGAATAACAGTAAAAAGTCTGCACTGAACATTCCAAAAGTCTATATGATAAGATTCTAAGGACCATAAGCACAAATTAAAGTTTTAAGATTTATAAAATTTAAAAATTTTTGTCCAGAAGTGAAGGCCACAGAGCTGAGTAATAAAAAAGGTATTTTAAAACTATAATAATGAAAATGTTCATTCTAAAGAAAAACCGATTAAAAGCATCTTCCTGACTAGTGCTTCAATTTGATTTTATTTAAACTAAATTCATCCTATGGGGTGTAAGGGCATCATTACAATTAGAAATAAAGAAGGTGGGCCAGGCGCAGTGGCTATGCCTATACTTCTGGCACTTTGGAAAGTCGAGGCAGGCGGGTTGCTTGAGCTCAGCAGTTCAGGACCAGCCTGGGCAACATGGCAAGACCCCCTCTCTACTAAAAATAGCCAGGTGTGGTGGTGCATGCCTGTGATCCCAGCTACTCAGGAGGCTAAGGCAGGGAGATCACTTGAGCCTGAGGGGCAGGGGTTGCAGTGAGCCATTGTGCCACTGCACTACAGCCTGGACAACAGAGTGAGACCCTATTTCAGGAAAAAAAAAAGAAAGAAAAATAAATAAAGAAGGTAAACTCTTTGCCATCTGGACAAGGTTATTTAGTATTTTTCATAAAAACATATAATGCTATTTAAAGAAAAAATATCTGTAGCTAAGGCTTTGGCAAGTTAAGGAAAAAAATCTTTTTATTAGAAGTAAAACATGAGGTTATTTTTCTGTTCTTATTTTAGGGACTTTTCTAAGAGTTTTCATATTCTTATCTGATCTTCAGAGTTAATTGTGAGGCTGAAAAGGAAGTATATTGTAAACACTCATTTTCCAGTGATGGAACTGAGTCCCTTGGAGGTCAAGTGACTGACTTACTCAGGAGCACATGAGTTACATAAGCATGATTTGTAGGTAGGGATTACAGATCTTCTGAGTAGTACTCTTTACCTTATCTATGTAACTGTTCCAGGAAGAAAACAAGGACAAAGGGAGTGGGGAGTTTGCCAATTTGGAACATAAATCAATGTCTGGCACATATAAATATTTGTCTAGCTCTTGCACATAAACAGTGTGTGAAATGTTCACTGAATGAATAAATGATGAATATGCTATATGCTAAACATTTAGTCTAAGCTAGCCCAGACAAAACATGCACACAAAAGAAACCAAGATACGCCATCAACCAGGCAACATGCCCCTACACAGTCTAATTGGGAAAATGAGATCCCGCAATAAGCCAACTGGCCATTCTAGTCAGAATAAGGAGTTATGGGCCGGGCGCGGTGGCTCACGCCTGTAATCCCAGCACTTTGGGAGGCTGAGGCGGGTGGATCACCTGAGGTCAGGAGTTCAAGACCAGCCTGACCAACATGGAGAAACCCTGTCTCTACTAGAAAAATACAAAATTAGCAGGGGTGGTGGCACATGCCTGTAATCCCAGCTACTCGGGAGGCTGAGGCAGGAGAATCGCTTGAACCCAGGAGATGGAGGTTGCGGTGAGCTAAGATCGTGCCATTGCACTCCAGCCTGGGCAACAAGAGCGAAACTCTGTCTCAAAAAAAAAAAAGAAAGAAAAGAAAAAAGAATAAGGAGTTACGTACTACAGTTGATATTCTTTGAAAAGTCAAGTTCTTTCTTTCCAAGGTTACATAAAAATTATTAGTTCTACTAATGCATATTAAATTCTATAAGTGAATCAAAGAATTTCCAAAACTTACCTCCTCTGTCAGTTTAGTGTTGGATTTTTCTAATGCATCTACTTTTGCCTGAAGGTTGTTTACAGTAGCACTATAAAGAGAAAAAAAAAATATCACTTTTGAAAAACAGACAATACCCCGTACCTTCCTTTTTAAACGCTTCACACTTACCCTTCACTGTCTAATGTTCACAATTTTTAATTTTATTATTACTTTTTTAGACGGAGTCTTGTCGTGTCGCCGAAACTGGAGCGCAGTGGTGCGAGACTACAGGCATGCACAACCAAATCCAGCTAATTTTTGTATTTTTTGGTGGAGATGGGGTTTCACCCTGTTGCCCAGGCAGGTCTCAAACTGCTGACCTCAAGTGACCCACCTGCCTTGGCCTCCCAGAGTGCTGGGATTACAGGCATGAGCCACTGCGCCAGGCCTTAATGCTCACAAATCTTGACCTCTAAGCTTACAAAAGGCGTTATCAGCTTTAACTGCTGTATCTTTGGCATTTGAGTTTTAATTCAGTAAGTATTTATTCAATGAAATAAAAGAGTTCATTCCCTACAGAGTAAACTTTAAGGTTTATCTACATATGATAATAACAGGCTATAAGAATTAAATGCTTACATGCACCAAACCGTCTTCTAAATTATGTTATTTGCGTTATTGCATTTATTCCTTTCAACAACCCTTTACGTTAGGTATTCTCATTTACAGATAAAGAAACTAAGGCATAGAAAGAGTAAATAATAGTGCCATTGTTTATATTTCATTGTGAACTGTAACCATGTCTTTGCTTGGCTAACATCTGCATAGTTCATTAAAGTCATTATATTAGTTCTTGGTCTCCAGAGAAAATGTACTTAAATTGTTTTGAATTTGCTAGGTGGAACCAAGACTACTTAAAACTTTACTGATAGTATAATCACAAGTTTTACTTAAATTAAAAATGTCTATTTTTCATAAGAGAACTACAAAGAAGATGATAATTTTTTTTTTTTTTTTTGAGGTGGAGTCTGGCTCTGTCGCCCAGGCTGGAGTGCAGTGGCCGGATCTCAGTTCACTGCAAGCTCCGCCTCCCGGGTTTACGCCATTCTCCTGCCTCAGCCTCC